AGGTTGCCCATTCTGGGCTAAAGCAAAAACTGACTCTATTAACTATCTTCCAGTACAAACTAGAGCCCTGTATGGTGGTGCACACAAGGAGACTGAGACAGGAGGATTGCAAATTCGAAGCCAGCCTAGATAACTTAGCCTATCTCAAAAAAACAAAAACAAAACTTTTATATGTGGATTGAAGTTTAGAGATGTGTTATCCAATCAACAGTACTGTTTCTTTGATTTTAGTTTCTGCATTGACACTTGTAAATTGCTTATGGTAGGTAGCTTTATTGCTAATATCAAGCGCTCCTTAGGAAATGACTACTTTTCAGAGATGTCTTCTAGCTGTAGCTGGCTTTTGGCTTTTAAATCTGTAGAAAGATCTTACCTCTTCAATTTATTTGGGGATGAGAAGTTGCTGCCTATTTGGCCTAGTCCCTGGTTCTTTGGCACTGGCCTATAGTATTGTTTAAGATCCTTAGGCAATCTCAGTCTTGGGATACAAGGAAGAGCAACTGATTAAAACAACTATATCACCTTGGCTAAAGTAGTATGACCTGTAACAACAATTGCATCAAGCACAGCCTGGAAAATGGCAAACTGTGGTAAGTATTAATTTGCCACCTTTATATGAACAAGATTTGTAGTTATATAAAAAAATCTAAAACAAACCAGAGAGTTGCATACAGTAAATATCCCCTCAACAGAGTAATTTTATGCTCAGTGGAGAAAACTTGAAAGGGGTAAGAGGAAAAAATAGAGCAATAGAAGAAGAGAAAGAGATTAGAGTCAAGGCTGAAGGATATAGGAAGATTATTTGAGCTTTGGGAAACTGGTGAAAAAAAACAGGAGGGAAAGAAAGAAGGAAGAAACAGAAATGAGAACAGAAAAGAACAACAACAAAAAAAACTAGGGCCGGGGATTTAGCTCAGTGGTGCCATGCCTGTCTTGCAAGTGCAAGGTCTGGAGTTCAATTCCCGGTACTAAAAAACAAAAACAAAAACAAAAAACTAAAAACAATGTTCACACTTATAAAAACAGAAACAAACAAGAAAAGAAAAAGAGTGTCCACTTCAGGACACTTCTCTGCGGTCACTGGCAGACAAAGGGGGCAGACAGAGCCCAAATCCATGTTGAGTGATCCAAGCCAGCCAGCAGCAGAATTATGGTGGAGTCGTGGATAATCCCAGCAAGCCTGCACTTTCAGCTCCACTGAAGTTCAGGCTGATCATGGTTTCTAGCTGTGAGGCTAGAAAGATCCATCAATGTCATCACAGATTCTGTTTTTCCTTTGTCAAAGTCCTTCTTTGAGCATCCTATAGACTCAGCAGTAAAGGGAACTAGCAACAGAAAAGGTAGTGGCTTCCAGGCTGAACACCCAGTTTGCCACCCACCAAAGATGTGCCCTGGAGTCCCTTCACTCCTGAGTCTCCATCTGTCTCTGATATCGGCACAATCACAGACCCTGACTCCGAGCTAACAGTGGCTGTGGTAGGATGCAGCGGGAACACAGAGCACGTGGCATAGCATGAAGACCCCATGAGGGCTCGCTGCTGTCTTCCTTGTGATGGAAAGAACTGGAAGCCATGGGATGGTTCACTGTTGCTGTTCTCAGACTGGTGCTTGTTGTGGAGATTTTCTGCTGCCATGGTGCTCAGCACACAGTAGGTCAGGCTTTGGCTGCATGTGGCTTGAAAGCCAAATAACACAGGGTGCCAAGAGCCAGCCAGGCAGTGAGTCAGGCCCTGAAGCACACCCTGGTCTTTGTTTGAGTCCATTTCTGGAGTCCCCGTCTGGAGGCTTTTCCTTCTCCCTTTCTCTGTGCTATCTCTCCTTCCACCTCCCCTCTGCCTTCCTCTTCCCCCTCCACCCTTCGGCTGCCCTGTCTGCCATGCTCAGGGGAGAGCTCTGGGAGAAGAAGGATCCTGCTCTTCAGTTTCCTTTCTGTTTTCAGAGTCAAATAAATATGGGCATCTTCCACCCTTTCTCATTAGTCGTTCATTCATTCATTCATTCACCTTCCTTGCAAGCCAAGTGTGGCCCTTGCAGTGTGCTGGTGCTGGGTAGACAGCAGACTTTGAGGTAGGCTCTTGGGCTTCTCATACGCACGTGGGATCTGTCTACAAATTCTGTTCATTCTTCCCTCCAAGTGGACTGATCATCAGACACTTCCCACCACTTCAGTGCTTCCCCCAGCCCACCATCCACTCTCACACAGTTCTTACTTTTGTTCTTGGCCACCTCCCCAGCACATAGCCCCCCCCAGCAGCTACTGATGCTCCTAAAATATGAGTCAGATCACACTACTTCCTACCTTACCATGAGTCCCAGCCCTCTCATGCTCACGGGAGAGCCTCTGTGATCTGCCTCATCTCCCTTGCCATCCTCTACTCCAGCACCTCTTGATTCTCTGCTGTTTCTCAAACTTAGCCTTCATGTTCTGGCCCTACCTTTGAGCTTGCTACATCCTCTGCTTAGAGTGTCTTTTCCCCACATAGCCATGTGATTATCCGGTGTTTCCTTACTGGCCCCCTCCTAGGCCAGTTCTTTTCTGGCCACCCAGTCTAAAATATCCTTTTTCCCTGCCTTCTTCCTTCATATCCCCTTCTCTCCTTTACATTTTTCTTTGCATTTAATTATAAGTTACACTCAGTACTGTACATATTGATTTTGTAAGTATATTAATCTGTTTTTCCTTCCCACTAGAATTTTACCTCCATGGTGGGGGATTTTGACATGTTCTGCTCACACACGAAAAAACCTAGAACACCTAGACTGAGAGAGTAGCAAATTTTTTTCCGTAAAAAGCCAGATAACAAATCTTTTAGGTTTTGCAGGCCATGCAGTCTCTGTTGCAAACATTCAGCCTTCCCCTGAAACACAAAAGCAGCCACCAAAATAGTGCATTGAGAAAAATAATGCATAAGCAGCTGAACACGGCTGTGTTCCAAGAAAACTTTATAAATATAGGCCGGTGGCAGTGCTTACTAGCTCCTGCTTGTGAACTGCCTGACTCTCAATTAATATTTGTTGATTACTTATGTGTGCGTATCTGTGTGTGTTTGTGTGTGTGTGTGTGTGTGTGTGTGTGTGCACGTGGTACTGGGGACTGAATGCAGGCCCTCAGGCATGCTAGGCAAGGACTATACCACTGAGCTACAGCCCCAGCCCTGTTGATTGAATTCTTTTTTTTTTGGTACTGGGGATTGAACTCAGGACCTTGCACTTGCAAGGCAGGCGATGGAACCACTGAGCTAAATCCCCAGCCCTTTTTTTTTTTAGTACATTATTTTATAATTACAGTTTTGTTTTTTGTTTTTTCGGTACCAGGGATCAAACTCGGGTCCTTGCGCTTGTGCAGCAGGCAACAAAACCACTGAGCTAAATCCCTGGCCCTATAATTACAGTTTTTAAAATACATTATTTTATAATTCCATTTTTTCAGTCCATTATTTTATAATTACAGTTTTCACATTATTTTATAATTACAGGTTTTTTTGTTGATTGAATTCTTGAAGGAAGATGTGTTACTCAGCTGTGACTGTGACAAAATACCTGAGTGGATCGACTTAAAAGGAAGAAAGTTTTATTTTGGCTTACTGTTTCAGAGGTCTGTGGCAACGCAGTCTCTCACGGTGGAAGTATACAGTGCTGAAGGCCTGTTCCTCCCATGGCAGTGCGAGGTAAAGAAGGTGACAGGAAGGGGCTGGGGTCCTAATGTCCCCTTCAAGGTCATATCCCTAATGACCTGACTTCTTTTCAGTAGGCTCCACCTCCTGAAGGTGCCACCCCTCCCAGGGAAGTCAGAGGCTTCCTTCCATACATGGCCTCTGGGGACTGTCCAAATGTTAGCAGGAGACAAGGTCACTCCAGGAGGAAAGTTGGGCAAATTAAACAATTTCAGACAGTGTGAGGTGCTATGAAGAAAATAAAGCAGGTAGTGGGATGGAGGGGCTGATGGCTGGGTCAGTTACTGAGGGAAGACTTCCCTCCCTGAGGAGGTGGCATTTGAACCGAAGGATGAGCATGCAGAGGGATGGCTCTCAGGAGAGCCGGGCCAGAGGCTCCCAGGCAGAGGCAAAGATTTAGAGCTGGGAATGAGCTTGGTGCGTGATCAGGACACAGAGAGTCACTGAGGTAGCTCCCACACAGTGACTGAGGAGTGAGGTGCAGGTTGGCCCGGAGAAGTGGGTAGAGGCCAGGCCTGGAAGGATTTTTAAATCCACTCTATTTTGGATCCTCTATTATTTTTAATTGTGGTTAAAATATACATAACCTAAAACTTACCATTTTAACTGTTTTGTTTCACAGTACTGGGGATTGAATCCAGGGCCTTTGTCCTGAGCAATATGTCCCCTGCCCACGAAAAAAAAATTTTATTTTAAATTTTGAAACAGGGTCTTGCTAAGTCACCAGGCTGGTTCAGACCTACGGTCCTCCTGCCTTAGTTCTCCAGAGTGATGGGATTCAGTGCCCCCCTCCCCCAACGCCTGGTTCATTTTTACCATTTTAAGGGTACATGTCTGTGGCGCTGGCATTACAAGTGTTCACTGTGTTGCACAACTATCACTGCCATCCGTCTCCAGGGCATTTTCATCATCCCCACCCACAGCTCTGTCCTTGTTAAATAATCTCGCCCCATTTCCCCTCTCCCAGCCCCTGGGAGCTGTCATTCTCTTCCTTCCCTATGAATACGTTTATTCCAGAAACCTCACTTAAGAAGACTCACACAGACTGTGTCCTTTCATGACTGGCTTGTTTGGAATAGTATAGTGCTCTGAAGGTTCATCCGTGTTGCAGCACGTGGGAGATTTCCTTTCTTTTTGAGGCTAGATAATATTCCATGGTGCATATATGCTGCCCTTTGTTTATCTGATCACCCATCTATGGGTACTTGAGTGGCTTCCCCTTTTTAGCTATGGTGAATAATGCTGATCTAAGCATGGATGTGCAAATATCTGTTTGAGTCCTTGCTTTTCTTTTTCTGGGTGTATCCCTAGAAGAGGAAGTGCTGAATCATGTCCAGTAGATGCTATACTAAGGACTACGTGAGGCCACCCCGGGCTGGATGCGGGGTGTGACTTCTGGCTGCTGTGAGGGACCGTGATTGCCATGGGGTGAGAGGAGACCTGGGAGAAGGCAAGGGCAGAGTCAAGGTAAGAAGAAAATGGCAACAGCCCAAAGCTTCCCGACTGGCTGGGGAGCAGACACATCAGGGAGTGATTACAAGCAAGTAGGGAGAAGTGCTGCAAAAGACATGAATGAAGACAGGGCGCTATGATCACAGGAAAAAAGAGAGGAAGCAATTCTGTGGCATTCTTCTCTACCAACTCAGACTTGAGTTGCTAGGCCGCTGACACTTGGATCATAATCCCAAATGACTCTGAGGTCAGTTGCGTGGGTTTGGCACCAGGCCCATAGCCTCTCTGCCTCTGTTATGATACAAGTGCCCCGGATGGGGAACGAGGGGCTCAGGGAGAAGGAAGGGAGTGGTTTGGTTCTAGGGCTGAAATTGTTGCACAGAAGGGTTTGGTGGTTAAGACCAGAACTGAGCCCTGTTTCTGCCAAACTCCAGTTGAGAAGTCTGTGACAAGTGGTCTCAGTTTTCTAACTCCCAGTTTCCGCTCCTGGAAAATGATAGGCTTGTTTGGTCTACAATCTGTGTGCTCTGTCTGTGTGTGTGAGCGTTTACTGGAAACCAGGTCCTTAGACATGTTAGGCTAGCGCTCTACCACTGAGCTATATTCCCAGCTCCACTTCCTCTATGAGACAATAGGAGTATTTGTTTATGCTCTGCCTATTGCACCTAATGTATTGTCTGGGCCATGGTAGGCCATAGATAAGTCTATTGATCTTATTTATGTACTTATTGCGCTATTGGGGATTGAACCCAGGGTATCTACACTTGCTAGGCAAGTGTTGATCTACATCCCAAGCCCTTTTTATTTATTTATTTTTGTGGTATTAAGGATTAAACCCAGAGCCTTTGCATTGAGCTACATCTCTAGCCCTTTCTTTTTTGAGACAAGGGCTCAATAAATTGCTAAGTTGCCCAGGTTGCCCCTTGTGCTTGTTATCCCTCTGCCTCGGCCTCCTGAAGTCCTGGGATTACAGGCATGCATCACCATGCCCAGCTATATTTTATTTTATTTTTATTTTTTATTTTTTGGTACCAGGGATTAATCAGCTATATTTTATTTAAAAATTTTTAGGGCCAAGGATTTAGTGCAGTGATTCCGTTGCCTGCCTTGAAAGCGGAAGGTCCCAAGTTCGATCTCCAGTACCAAATAAATAAATACAAATTTTTTAATTGAGGTATAAATTTCATAGGAAAATTATAGCCACCTTAAATCTCAGGCTCAAGGCATTTTAAAATACATTTGTGTATGTATGTATGTATACATATATGCAAATTAATGTTTTGTAAAAGCCCATGTAACTACCACCAGATCAAGTTAAAGACCATTTCCATGTCCCTTATAGGTTCTCTTGCTCCCTTTCCTAGTCAGTATTTGCCAATAGTGAGCTGGGTATGGTGATTCATGCCTTTAATCCCAGCACTCAGGAGGCTAAGGCAAGAAGATTACTTTGAGTTCCAGGCCAGCCTGAACTGCACAGTGAGACTGTCTCAAAGAACAAAACCAACCAACCAACCAAGGAAACAAAACAAATCAAAGCCAGCATGGTGGCACAAGGCTGTAATCCTAGCCTATAATCAGGAGTCTGAGTCAGGAGGATCACCTTGAGTTCGAGGCTAAGCTGGGCAACATAGTGAATTCAAGGCCTTCCTGAGCTTTATAGCGAGACGCTGTCTCAAAAAACTAAAACCCAAAACAAAACAAAACCCAAAACAAAACAAAACAAAACAAATATCCACCAGTGGTGAGCGTTGTTCTGACTTTGCTCCCCACAGGTTCATTTCCCCTGCTCTTGACCATCACAGAAGCTGCACTGTCTCCTGCCTGCCTTCCTTTGCTCCTTACCAGGTGTGGTGGGAGCCCCTGGGACTGCTGCTGTGATGAACATGTCTGTCAGTGTGGTGTCTCTGGCAGACCCAGCACTCTCTCCTCCCGGTCAGGGGTGGAATTGCTGTGTCACTATGTCTGTATGTTTAGCGTCAGTAGAAATTGCTAGTTTAATTCCAAAGCTGTTATACTTGCATTTCCATGATGACTAATGCTGCTGAGTACCTCTTCATATGTTTGCTCAGTGAAAAAACAAATTGTTGAAGGAATGAATGACTTGCAATTAGTTGTGGTGGCGCACACCTGTAATCCCAGCACTTGGGAGGTTGAGGAAGGAGGACTGCCCTCAGTTGGAGGCCAGCCTGGGATGCATAGTGAGCCCAAGGCCAGCCTAGGCTACATAGTGAGATCCTGTCTCCAAAAAAACCAACCAAAAAAAAAAAAGAATGAATGATTAAAGAGGACGAGAAGGAAACCAATCTGTCTGTTGTTCTGCCTAAAATCCACCTGCGGCTCCCCACTGCCCCGCCCTTGGCCACCACCATCCTACTTGCTCTGCCCTTGCTGTCGCCCTCCTCTGTCACATGGGGCCCTTCTGCCTCCCTCCCTGGAGCTCCATGGACCATTTCCATGCCCCTGGCGAGTTCTCTTGCTCCCTTTCCTGCTCAGTATCTGCCGGTGGTGAGCAGTATTCTGATTTTGAGCCACACAGGTCTTCAGGTCCCCGCAAAGAGCTCCTCTGCCTCAAGAGTTTTCTCTAAGCTGCTTCCTTCAGCCTGGAGCCTGACTCACTGCCTGGACTCAGCTGAAAGCCCTTCCTGCAGGAAGCTTTCCTGACATCCACCCACGCCCAGGGCCAGGGCCCTTTAGGCCTGTTATGCTCACTTTTTCTTCCCGGGTCTTACCATCCTGGCAACACACTTTTATTTTATGCACGTATTTGATTAATATCCATTGCCTTACCATCAATGCACCTAAAGATGAACAACCCAGCTCTTTAAAATCACTTCAGAGTTGAGGGGCCGAGTGTGTTCAAGACCCTGGCTTTGATCTGTGTCGATACCAGGAGCAAAAACCAAGTTTAACTGCTTCTCTCAAGGCACTTGGCATACAGTAGACGCTCGGTAAGTATTTACTGGATGAATAAATGTCAAAGCAACAGTTGCAGGCTCCCACTGTCAAGGAGCCAAGATCTGGTAGGTGATGAGCAAGCACAAGTGGCCCTCCACTATCACGGGTCCTACACCTGCAAATTCTGCATTCTGGCATTCAGCCAACCACAGACACAAAATATTCCTCAAAAATGTTTTGTCTGTGCTGAACATGAATAGACATTCTTCTTGTCATTATTCCCTAAGCCAGTGGTGCCAAACCTATGGCACGCATGTTTTCTGTTTTCCTTTTAAGACAAAAGATATTAATGTATGGATCGTTTTTCTAAACAGAAACCTCAGTGTTCAGGGTTAATTGCAGTGTTGGCACTTTGTGATAAATCAGTGGGTTTTGGGTTGCAGTTTGGGAACTCGTCTCTGAAAGGTTCTCCATCACTGTGTAACAGGAAGTTCCTTGGGAATATGTTCCTAGCCTTAGCATTCACTGGTTCAGGGGTGAGCCTGTGACCCCATGGTAGCCCAAGAAGCATGGTATAAATTGGGCTGAGAATTTTGGGGAAGAGAACTTTGTTTCAGATTCCCTTCTCCTCCTCCCCACTGGTCTGAGAGGGCATGGGCACTGGATCGGCAACCGCCATTTTGCTGCCCCAGGAAGTCTAAAAATGGAAGCCAACATAGAGCAAACAGAAGCCAAGAGGCAGAAAGAGACCTCCTGACTTCATTTGGATCCTGAACCCAGTCCTGCTCATGAACTTTTTATTTACAGGAGCCCCAAACTCAGATTTTCTGAGAATTTTTGCCAAAAGAGGCCAAAGGGCCCCATAGAACTCAAGCTTGACCATCATTCCTCTTGTGACTTTACTCCACCTGGCCTTTACCTGCCCAGGTGAAGTCTTCACCTTCAAATCCGGACCAACTTGGCCCCACCTTCTCTAATCCTGCTAAAGCCTCCTGTAACCATTACCTCAGCCAGCGCCTTTCAGACAACCCAAAAATGCAGCTATAAAAATTGATGACAGCCAAGAGTGTGCCAGTTATCAAGGAGAGCAAGCTGATATCAGAAAAATTAACCTGCATGGTACTGACATTTTTTTTGAGGCGGGTGTATTTTATTTTCATTTCAAATTTAATTGACACAAAATAATTGTATATATTTACAGGATACACTGTGACAATTTGATACATGTACACAGTGTTTAATAACCAAAGTGAAGTAATTAGCATTTCCATCTGTTTTGACATTTATCATATATTTGTATTGTGAATCTTTGGACTTCTTGATAGGTCTCCCACTACCTCAGTAGCTATTATGTATAGTAGCTGCCTTCCTATTGTGCCTTGCCCCCTCCCCTGTGTGACATCATGCCAAGATGGCTGCTCCCACCAAAGAACAAACCCTTCTTCCCAGCATGCCCCTCTTCCCACCTAGAGAGTAACCTAATACTTGCTCACCTCCTACGACTAGTGACATCCCCGGGTCCTCCATTCCCGAGTCACTACCTCACTCAACCCCCCCTCAGCCCCTACAAGCCCCACCCCAGTCTCTGTAAAAGACACTCCTTCCCCTGGCCATATTGCTTTTGTCTCTCCTTTGTTCAGAGACAGCCCAGCAGATCTGTTCTCCTAATAAAGGCTCTTTGTGTCCTGGTCGGGTCTTGGTTTTCAGCATTTTACCTGACACTTCTCTCTTCTAGTTCTTTATGAAATGTATATACATGTTTAAACTATCACCACCTGACTATGCTGTAGAACACTAGCACTTATTCCTCCTATTTAGCTGTGTTTTTGCATTTTAAAAAAATCTAAAGTTAGCAAAGGCTGAAAAGCAAATCTTATTCCTACAGCCAGGGATTTCCTTCTAAAAAGATCTAACATCTCATAAAAGATGCCTAAAATTTCTTTGGAAAATATAAAATTTTATTTAGAAACATTAAAGATTTTTTTTTTTGAGACAGGGTCTTACTTTGTAGTTCAGGCTGGACTTGAACTCACTATGTAGCCCAGTGTGGCCTCAAACTTGCAGTGATCCTCCTGCCTCAGCCTCCCAAGTTCTGGGATTACAGATGTGCACCACTGCAC